CACGAAGAAGCTCTGAAATTTCGAGCATGGCATGCTTACTGAAACTCAAGAGCTGCAGGTGGATTGAATTCGAAACATATTAAGGATGCTTATCTTTTATTTACAGCAAAGTGCGACTGTATCACGGCTACCTACAATTCTACCATAGTTACAATCGGCAGTAGTAGACGTATCAATGGGAGTGTTTCACGTGGATATCACGCGAATTACGATGATGTGATTTCAGCAGGCTTACTCATAGAAAGCGACACACTTCTAGAGTGTCCGTACGTGTTGTATTTGATGCTCAGTACCGACGCTGATCCTTGGTTCAAGTTGGATAAGTATGTTCGAATACTATGCGCGAGGATTGGGTACTGGATCAAAGGTGGGGGCACCTTTTGTATAACTTACGTGGGTTGAAGTCAATGGCTAACAAGGAGCACATTAGCTGGATGAGTGTACATTGTGGCGCTCGCATAGGGTATGGGCGTTATCGAGTAGCTATCGAGTAGTGAAGGAAATGTCACGCAGTTTCTCCGTGATACAAATAGAGTTTAAGGGCTTTGTTCGCGACTCGTGCTCGTGCGGAATGAGCTCAAACAACTCAATCGTTTTGGTGCCAGACCGCAGCAGCGCCGACATCGACGTGCTTCGGTTTGCGTTGAAGAAGTCGGTAAAGGTTTTATTTTTCCACGAAGTTCATCAACTCAATGTATCGATGAGACGGCACCGCTACAACTTTCCGAGTTGGAAGCCGATAGGGATAGTGCTGCTGGAGACGACGACCTCTTTCTACTCCACAGTACTGGGACTCTGTCAGAGAAAGTTTCGGGTTGATATTTTCCGAACCACGCTGTTGTCGACCGTACGTGCTGGAATGCCTACTACGGACCTTTTGCAACAAGAGCACTGGCCGCTGTGAGTGGTTTGCGTCCAGTGGTGAAATCTCAGAAGCGTTCACTCGGTGGTGATGATGATACACTGACCGTTGCTGAAGGACTTTGCTCAAGCTAAAAGCGACGTAGTTTTCTTGGATGCTAGCGATGCCACCACTGCATCAGTTATAGCAACACACGATATGCTTTTTTTCCTTCAATTTATTTATTTAGTGGTATTACCAATTGGTTTACACGTTCATCGGGTCCAATGGCACAGTTTAATTCTAATGCCTCCTTTTACGGATATGAAGGCTATGGTGACAACGGCTCTCCAGATTCACGTAATGAGAAGGGTACAGTATGATCAAGTGCTAAACTCGTCAGATTATTATTTT